ACAGTAAACAGAGAACTGCTTAAATCATCTGTTATTAGTGCCACGTAGGCCACGTAACAGACACTCCAAAATACATTAGCGAGCACCTTTTAGTTGCCATTTACAATGCTCAATGCTTTCATACATCTGCTCACTTTTATTCTCAGTATTGTGTCAAAAAATAAGGATTGCTCTGCCTCTTTTGTAGATGAGGAGAAAAGGGCTCAGAGAAATTTATAAATTTACCTATGGCCACAAAGCTGGAGAGTATGAATCTTAATACAAATGCAGAAATGTCCAATTTCAGAAGCCATGCATGTTCATGATAATATTGGCTTTCTGTAGCTATAAGAATTATGGAGTCCATCCTTATCTCAAGTGAATTCACATGCTCAAATTTTTCAGTCCAAATAGATTTTACTAAATTCTGGGAAGCTTAGGGAAAGTTTTACAATGTAGCATTTTAGAATTCAAAGGATTTAGTCATGAGCAGTGAATCTGCAAAATATGCTATCAGAGCCCCACTGGTTTCAGCAATAGGAAGGCGCAGTCTCCTGCAGCATGTGTTAGAACAAAATGGCTTTGGGAAGCTAGAGGAAAGCACAGTGGTATGCTGAACACCTGGTATTTAAGGCATTCTTTGCTATATAAGCTCCAAATTAAAGCCTTAGTTATTATTTTTGAAAATGCATACAGCTTTGCAATAAAATTCTCAAATACTAGATGTGGACTTCAAACATAATCACCAACATATGATTTATAGTAATATGTGGTTGCTATAAGAATATAGTGAAAATAAATAGAGTAAACAATGTCAAAAATTAGGCACTTGAGTACCTGAACTACTGGTTACTGCTGCCCAGATGCAGAAAATATTCCTTCCAGTTTGACAAAGCATTTCCCTGTAGAGTCTGAACAAATGCTCTTTTTGAACCTGCTAACATAAATTTTCAAGAGAAAACAAAACCACAAAAACTCAACTTTATATTTGATTCCAAATAGGCTCCTTTCATTTATTGCTAAAATGGGGAGATAATATGGGGATTTAGTATAATCTGGATAGGTATTATTTTCCATAAATGAAGAGATATCCCCTAAGATCACTTCCTAATTGTATCATTAAAACTTAGTAACTTAAAATATTGCCTCCTTGCAGGAAAACAGAGGAAAAATAATTTTCTATCTTTGTGTCTCATTTTTTAATATGAAAAATGCTTCTAGGATCCTGTATTCTTATTATTAGTATCTCAAACTATTGTATCACGTTTAAATACTTCTTTGGGTTTTTAATATCAGAAACTGTTGTTTTACCAGTTTGATGTGATTTTCTAAGTTATAAAAGAAAATTACAATAAATACAAATTTGTCTCATATTACACACACACACATATATATATATATATATATAATTTGAGACAGAGTCTCACTCCGTCACCCAGGCTAGAGTGCGGTGGTGTCAGCCTAGCTTGCAGCAACCTCAAACTCCTGAGCTCAAGCAATCCTCTTGGCTACCCCTCCCAATTAGCTGGGACTCCAGACACACGTTACCACACCTGGCTAATTGTCTCTGTTTTTAGGAGAGATGGAATCTCACTCTTGCTCAGGCTGGTCTCGAACTCCTGAACTCAAGCATTCCTCCCACCTCAGTCTCCCAGAGTGCTAGGATTACAGGCATGAAGCATCACACCAGGCCTATAACACATATTTTGAAAATTATGTATATATATAATTTAACAAATAATATATGTAAGTCTATATCATGATTTCTTCATGTAATGTTATATTATAAATGCTGACTCAAACCACTTTCAATACCTGCCTAATAGTCTGTTGAATAGATATTTTATAGTTTACTTAATCTCTTTTTGGACATTTAGATTATTTTCAGGGCTTTTTTTCTGTATTAAAACAAGTGTTTTTCCAATCTTTAAGTGTCTTCAAAATTTTTATGTATTTAAAAATTTTCTTAATGATTATAAAAATAAACTTAGAGAAGACTCTACCAGTAAACCTTCCTATTTTCTGCATCTTCATATTTTAACATGAACAAATGTCTAAAGTTTTGTTTTTATTTGGATACATGAAACAGGTAACAATATCAACTGTTAAAATGATGGTATTTTTCCATTCCATTACATATCTTCACAGTAATTCTGCGAGACAAATATTATTCTCCTTTCACAGATAAACTATTATAGTAACTATAATATATATCATATCATAATAACTATAATATATATTATAGTTTATAGATAAACTATATATAATATATATTATAGTTTATAGATAAACTATTATAATTTATAAACTTTAAAATCTTTAAGCAATATTCTCATGCCTTGTTGAAATGGGTGTCTGCAGGATTGTAAGGATGAGAGGTTGCAAAGAAAAAGAATAGTGTGGGTTTGTGGGGAGGAGCCTGAATTCTGTCTTGGACATATTGAGTTTACATCACCTGCAGGATATCCAAATACAGTCATGTAGTAGGCAAATGACAGATTTGAAACTTGGAAGAGAAGATTCTTCTAAAGACACCACTTTGGGAGTCTTCAGATTAGAAATGAACTGGAAGCAGTGGAACTGAAAGTGTTACCCCAGTAAAGTATGCCACATGTGAGCCAAAGGGAGACAAGTACAGAACCTTGAATCAGCAGGTACACTTGGCAAAAAGCAGAAAAGAAACTCAGGAACAAAAGAATAAAAGTAGAAAGAAATAACAGTGGGTGAAGTCTTCGAATTCAAGGAAGGAGATAATTTCAAGGACAGGACCTTAGCCATTCAGAACTATGGATGCCACTGGCGATCTTGGTTAAAGAAAGTTTCAGTGATATTCTGGGGCTGAAGTGGAGGATTTTGGTGGATTGACGAGCAGCTGTCCACCTTAATAGGCAGAACTGTTTTAGAAGGCAAATGTGGAAAACTATAGAAACATTTTTCTGCTCTTTTATAAACTATAGTAACAAAGCTCCTGCACAGGTGGTAGAAGGACCAGGCAGTTTGCCATGGAGACACTCAAAGATGCCATGTTAGTATATTAATACATAGCCCTGGATTCAACCTAGTTCTATGGGAAGTGGACACTCAATGTTTTCTCACTGTCAAGAGTGGACATTCCAGACAGAATGGGCAATAGATATGACCTGTCTATTATCCTACATCACAAATGAATAAAGCCAACAGCAAGTACTCTTTTCTTGTCCATTTTGTCTAACATCAAATCATATTAAACTATGAGCTACTAAGTTGTGATGATGATGGGTGACTTTTCCCATCAGCATTGCCAAGAACCAGGAGAGAACACCAGGATTCTGGTTTTGAGCAGTTCACAATTTGTTAACATATGATTCTTAAATATCTGTTTTTAACAAAAATCAAAATACGATAGGGAATTGAGGAAAGCTGTGCAGATCTACCACCTCTACGCTCCCCCATTGCATGACCTTTAAACAGCCCTACCGCTCGCCCCCAGCTGCACTGCCTCAGAGGGCTTACAGAGGAAAAGTGCAATTGTGATTTCTTGACACCCACAGATAATTACTACTACTGTTTGATTCTGCAGGAGATAATTCTCTGTTCTGCCTTATTTTTGTTTAGAAAAAAACTATTTACATCTGAATGTGGCAGCACTTTCAGCTTCAAATATATCTTTCCTTCTGTTTCATATTCAAAGCATTATCAGAACTACCAAAATTACATGAAGCCTCTGGCATTCTCTTATTCACTATGTTCAATACTGAACTGTGTAAAAATACTTTTAATTGCGCAAAATGAGCAAATTTAGTGCCAAGTGCAAAGCCATGTGTTTAGCATCATAATCTCCCCTCTTTCCCAAGACATTTCCAAAATGTTGGCATGACTAAATTTCATCCACAATTCTGGAGTCTCAAAGAGAATGGATTAAGGCTATGCTACATACAGGTGGAGTTTATAGATACCCTTCTGAGACGACAGGGGTTCTATTGCCTTCTCACTATAATATTCATTCACTCATTCAACAAAAATGTATTGAAAATCAGTTTTGCACAATGTTTATTTTTTTTAGCACTCAGAAGAATGAAAATACTTCTTGCACTGAAGATGATCACAATATAGTAGGGAAACATATATAAACAGATAATACTGATAATTACAGCCCGAGAATCCCATAGTAAGAATAGAAGGTGCCAGCTGCCTGGTGTTGTGATGGGCGGGGGTATGTTAGAGAAATCTCCCAGAGGCCTGATGAGGGATTGGGGCTGAAGGATGAATGTCAGCACTGATGCTATGGTTGCAGCTACAGTTATAGGATATTTTTTATTGAGCCATATAGATTCCTGGCATCAAGGTACAAGTTTGGTCAAAGGGGAAAAATAAAAACTAAAAAATTATATATCCCCTCAAAGCCACAAAAAGCATTAACTAATGTTTTAAAAAGATTGATGAGGGTAAATAGCCTACATATCTATATCTAGACTTATAGATCTATATGTAGATATAAAAATTAATTGATATTGAAAAAGTATTAATAAAAATTACAAATATAAGTACTAGGTCATTTAAATGATCCAATTCAGTATTTATTGAAGAGTAGTGATATTGCTAGAACTAGTGGCAATTAAATGTCAGTGTTTTATACATATAACAAAATTTCAGGGAATTATATAATCCCCTTAAATGAATAATAAAGACAAACAAAACTAAAATGTTTTTAGGTACCAGAAATGTTATACTTACTCATTATGTAATGATATTAAAAAAGCATAATTTTGGCTATTTTAATTTTACAACTCTTTCTTCTCATCTCAAAGTTATGTGAAATAGAGCACAGTAACATCATAATTTTGGAGAGATGACCTAAAAGGCAAGAAAAATTTCCCAGAAGGGAGATATTTGGCCTGAGTAAAAGGGATTTACTTAGCAAACCAGTCAGAATAATTGTAACAAAATGTTCATTAGAGATATCAGACTAAAGAATCAAGTGATGTTTTAATAGAAGTAGCTGATGAAAATCACACTAGCAAATTAAAAATATTTGATTTCTTTTACATATCTTAAAATTGATACCACTACATTTAGGTTTGGATTTTTATTATAATTAATGCAACATGACTTAATTAATTTCGTTTTCCAAGATTTTACCATCTGTTGGTGCCACAAATCCTTGAGTGAACTTGGGGATTTTTGTATTGCCTTGTATCACAGACAATATGGCAAAGATAACAATTAACTCCATTCATCTATCTGTGCTAAGATTTTTCATTGTTATCATCTGTTTATTTCCATGGAGATCTAAAAGGAAATTATATATCACTTCCTTCATCATTTTGTTTTTCCCCCTTCCTCAAGCGTATAATGTGCACCTAATAAATGCTAATATGAAAAATTCTAAACAAATATTTAATGAAAATTTGTATGGGAAAGTCATCTTACCAGAAGAAATGGATAACAAAGTATTATAATACAATGTACAGTCCTTTTTCTGGGTTTTGTTTTAACTTGGTTGACCAGACATATAATACAAAGAACAATTCAAACAATAAATGATAATATTGTCCCATATCCGCAGAATCAGATCTCCCTGCACCAATGACTATGCCAGTGAGCAGCATCACTGTGTTCAGGTACTTAAGCAGAAAACTGGATGCCACCAAGACTATGTTCTCTCCTTAACCCCAGACATACAATTTTTTTAAAACCTCATCGATTCAACCATGTTAATATATCCCTTATTTCTGATCCCTCCTTCCACTTATATACTTACTTCATCTTTTATATCACCTGTAGACTGATTTCCCTCAAAATTAAAGCCTGATACCTTTATGCAGCCTGGTGCTGCCTACAACTCTGTACTTGCCTATAAAGTCCTACCTTGTCCCAGTGTGCCAAGAGGCCAGCATGGCCTGGTGCCCACTCATTGCACTTGCTTCTCTCTTGCAGCACCTCCCAACTTCTCTTTCAGCCACATTCATTTCAGCCACATCAAACCCTTGGAGGTCCCTGAACATTCTGGTCTGATTTGTTCATGCTTATCTAGTTGACCAAACCTCTGAAGGGCACTGGCACTTGTTTTACAGTCACTTTTTTGTTTGTTTTTCATAAATATTTACTGAAGACTTGCTATGTGCCATATTCTGGGCTAAGTCTTGATAATGAAAAAGAAAATCATAAAATTTGGAACCTTCAAGGAGCCCAAGAATCCTGAACATGGGACTGAATCTAATCAGATACTCATGATCTTGTCATGACCCCAACTCCTGCCTATCCCCGTTCCTCACTCTTCTTCAGCCCACCTGGCCTCATTATTAACCACATGGCCCAGGCGGGCTCCTACTTCAGCACCTGCGTATGTTGGTCCTGTTGGTTGAGATACTCTTCCCCCAGTTACCACCATGTCTTGTTCTCTTATTTTATTAAGTTCTCTGTTCAAATATCTTCTCACAGTGGTCTGTACTTAATAAGAATCTTTTTCAAGGTTAAAAAAATTACATGTTCTCCTATTATTTTAAAAATGTTTGACTTCAAAATATGTATTGTTACTAAAGTTATATTATACTTTTTTTGTTGATTTTTCTGTCTACCCAACCAGAATACTGATTCCATTGAGGCTGGAACTTGATCTATTTGTCCTCAAAGCTTAGAACAGTGCCTGGTATGTGGTAGGCTTTTTATACATATTTGATGAAACAGTAATTACACAGAAATTTAAGTATGCATTGAGATGTTATGCTAGGAAAGCCCAGGGTGTTATAAGAGCATAATACATGTGGAGTTGGGGGAGAGATCTGAAAGGTCTCCTGAAGGGATGACACTGTGATGGCTAAACTGAGTTCTGAAGGATGTCAAGGAGTTGACCAGGCAAAAAGTATCACGTGAGTCCTGGGATCTATTTGAAGAGAAATGTAATGAGTGATGTAATCAGTCTCTGAAAAATGGCAATATATATTCATGAACAAAATAGTAGCTAGTATTTCTTGAGAATTCACAATGTCCCAGGCACTATTCTAAGAGCTTACCTGATTCAACACATTTAATTTTGTCAGCAACCCTTAGGAATAGATGCAATCCTCACCCCCAGTTTACAGATGAGGAATCTGAAACAGAGAGAGAAGCAACTTGTCTATGAGGACAAACACAGCAAGTAAGTGCCAGGGTTAGAATATGAACCTTGGTCTTGTGGCTGCCTGTGCTCTTAATAACTACTCTGTAAAAAGACTATCACAAAAAAATAAATTAATTATTCTCAAATTAATTAATAGATTTCATGCAATTCCAATTACGGTTGGGGGAGGGGGTTGGAATTTGCAAAAAAAAAAAACAAAAAAAAAAACCAAAATGGAACCTAAGAAAGAATCTGAAATTCATTTGCAATAATAACCCATTGGGAAAGCTAACAAATGTTTGAGACAACCATATCCTCAGGGACACCAACTGTAAAAAACTTATGCAAAGACTGGAAAAATCATTCCAAATGGTGGTCACCTGCTTTCTAAGATTATTGATAGCTTTGTTTTCTTTCTCATATCATACTTTTCTTTATTTTCTAATTATCTTCTTTTACACTCAGAAAATTTTAAACAAACAGCTAGTTAATATTATCGATGCAAAATCTCAAAGATGAAATAAAATTAATAACCTTAAATAATTCCACTTCAAAAAATTAAGTATTTTGAACATCTACAAACTGTAATGTATAATAATAACAAGACAAAGTAATAACCAAATGAATGTATACTGCACAGGGAAAAAATAAAAGGAAGAAGTACATGACCTAGAATATCATGTAATTCAAAGGCACAGGAAAATTTACTAGTCTGGAGCAATGGTGACAAATAATTTTTAAAGAGTATGAATTGCAGGCTATGTTAAAACCAAGATTCTTATATCTTTCTGGCACAAGTATTAATATGAATGACATATTAAGAAACAAAAATGCTATCACATTTGCTTTATTGAATATATAACACATAATTTGCCATCAGCATATTGTTTGTATGCTGATTATCCTGTCAAAATTATTAACATGTTTCTTTTTGTAATTTTAATTGTAATTGAAACCTTGTTAAATTATTTACTTAGGAAAACTCTTATAGAAAATACAAGATTTTATCTATATTTTACTTCTTGAAATTATTAGAGGCATAGAAATGAATCCAATTTTATGTTTCATGAAATGAGCTATCATTGGTAGTATAATAATAGCACAAGTCAAATTGCAATGAGATTATTCAGAGAATAAACAAATATAAGTTGAGTAACCAACACATGCCAGGTAATGAACTGGAGACTAGTCACTACCATGTAATCAATCTTTCTTCTTATGTTAAATCAACTGTTTCATTAAAAAGTACTGATTAATTTTAGATTCTATGTTCATACATATAATTCTACGAATTTTATTTTGCAGGATGAACTACAATGATGATATTGTTGCAAAAAGTAATGTGACAATTCAAAATGTGTCCTATGTAGAATCTTAAATTATATCCTATATTTTACTTTGATATAACTATTTTATACCTTTTTGATATTTCTTGAAACATCACTTTAATAAAACTTTATAGCTGTTAACAACTAAAAGTGCTATGTACCATGGTCTATTCTTAGTGATACACACACACATATATCAGTAAGAATATATAAAGAGATGTATATACATATACATATATACAAATCACTAAGAATATATATGTTCTTAGAATATATAGATACAGGTAAATATTATAAGAATGTAGATATTCTTAGAGTATCAAGAAAAAAAAATTCTACGACTCCAGGTGCTATTATTTCTCATAATTTACAGACAAGAAAAACCTTAGAGAAAGAGTGTTAAGTAACTCACTTGAGTTCTCACAGTCAATATGTAGTAGAGACAGGCATAATTATGAAACAATCTGGCTCTAGAGTTTATAATCTTAACCATCTTGATATCCTACTTCATATAAGTAAAAATTTGAGCTGTTTAAGCAATCTAGGTATCTGGACTGTTCTTTAGCTGATTTACCAGAATTTTAATGATTTTTTATTTCTTTATCTTGCAATTTTCTGTTGGTTTGAGATAGGAAAAAACTAGAGTCCTCAAGTATTTTAAATTACCGAAAGATGTAACATACATAAGAACATTTCCTATAAAACTTGGGCCTTAGTATACATTGAATAAGTGTTAACCACTATTATTGTGGCTACAGGCTCATTAAATCCTATACTTTATTACATTCTAGTCTAACATAATATATCTAATATATCTTGGTACAATCACTTTTGAGATTCCTGTATTGTACACAAAGAGAATGCTTAACCTTGAAATATACAGCATGACACTATCAGAGGTTTCTTTCTTTCTTTCATACCCTAAGAAATCTTGGCTCTACAAGAATGCTAACACATTTTTTCACTCCCAATGCTACTTACTATCTGGCCTAAGTGCCATTGTTTTTGTCTGGACTACAGCAACAGCCATCTAACTGCTCTTCCATCTTGTACTCTCAACACAGCAGCCAGGGCAATAATTTAAAAATGTAAGTTCTTATTAGTCCTCTGTTGAAAGCCCAGAGACTTTACAATGGCTTTGGAAGTTCCACGTGATCTGGCTTTCTGTCGCTGCTTGTTCACACCACTTTGGCCACACTGAGCTCTTTGTTCTTCCTTAAATCCTCAGGGGTGCTCTCTCTTTGGGAATTCCACATATGCTTTTCCTTCTAACTCCAAAACTCTTGATGGATATAACTGCATGGCTTAGTCTCGTATCTACTTCCAAATTTTTGGTTGAAATATCATCTTCTCACTGAAGTCAAACATGACAGCCCTATTTGAAATTGCAAATCATACACCCTTTCTTCCTAACCTGTCATTTTAGATCCCTCTTATCTTGTTCTACATATCTCTTTCCCCATAGCATTTATCACCTTATGTCATGCTATATAATCTAATTATGTAATATGTTTATTGTATATTTGTCTTTGTTCCCCCTCCCCCAAACATAAGCTTCAATAAGGGCAATAATCTCTTTTTTATTCATGGATATATCTTTGTGTGCTTAGAAAAATTTGTAGTACATCATAGTCACTCAATAAAGTCTCATTTAATAAACAGAAAGCTGGATAAATAAATTCATACATTTTATTTAACAGCTATTTATTGAGCACTTATATGCATAAATCAGAAAAAAATATGATTTTTGTAAAGAAGCTCATGGACTATAAAATTTCCATATGATGATGGTCACCAACATAACCTTTTCCAGTACATGATGAAATGAATGATAAAAAGAGATAATGTGTTAGTTATTAATTGAAGATTACTATAGTTCTCTGAGATATGGAAGACTTCTTTTCCTTACAGATGAAGAATAAAGAACAGGTATTTGGATATTCCATCTCTTTTTACTAGAAAACAATGACTTACAGTTCATATAAGTAAAAGAATGAAATGGGAAAAAATAGAAATCTATCACAAAGTTGTTCAAGATACATCTTGAGAAAAAATTGCCTTAAATATGGAGCAAACATAAAAATATAATAAAATTGTGCATAATTCAGAAATTTCTGTAATTTTGAGACAACTATTCAAGTAACTTATTTATATACCAAATTTCCATTGTTTGATAATTCTCTGATCAAAAAGTGGGAAAGAGAAATGAGCCTTGATTACAATTATCCCACTGCCCGCCAAATAGTTGTACTCTAAGATGAGAAAACCAGAAAAAAAATTGGCAGAGATGGAGATGAGTTCTGTGAGTATTAGAACAATTGCTGATGTGTCTCGGGGTGAGAACTACATTATTCTCTGATATTACATGAATTAAAGTATGTGAGAATCTTGGGAGGATTTAATTTTTTGTGTGTAGAAGAAAATGGATATCTTTTCATTTGGAAGAGACAAATAAGATGGACAAAAATAATGGACAAAAATGGACAAAAATAAAATGTAATAAATTATAATTGTTGGCAGGAAAATGGCAGAATAAAGACAAAAAGCACAGAAGAAGTATGGAAATGAAAAAGAGAAGAAGAAAATGTGAAACAAGTAGGGACATAAACGTAGAGAACACGATAAATCCTGAATCAGGTGGATCACATTCACGGGGACTGAGGCCCCATTTAGTAGATTAAAAGACAGGGGGCAAGAGTATTATTCATATGTCTATAAATAATCACTTTATTTTTTCCCCTAGTTAGCAAAATTAAATACCAATAAAATATATAATCAAGTTTCCCCTACTTTAGGGTTATAACTAAGCAAGTAATTGATAAAACGTTCTTCTATATGTGGGGCTTTGTATAACGTTCTTTACTTTTTTAGACAATATGTACCATGACTTCTTTCACATTAAGAAAAAAATTGGTAAATATTTCATTTTACATAGATTGTATACAATTTCCAGGATTTCGAATCAATTAGCATGTATGTTTTTCTCACCTAACGTACATTTAAATGGGAGATCAAGATGAAATAATTAAAAAAAAAATAAACTCAACCGAAGCTAAAATGTGCCAAAGACAAGATTCATAAAACATATATCATTAATCTGTTGTGAAAATATTCCCCCAAATTGAAATTATTTAAATTTCTTCTCTTGTAATTATCATGCTATTTTGCTAGTATCACCTAGAATTGGGAACATGCATTTCATGAGACAACTGGCTTTTTGGTGGTTCTTGTACAATAAATCTCAAATCATAGAACTACTTGCAAATGGATTTAATGAGCATAAAAAATGTTCCTATCAGCAACAAATCCAAATGACAAATATGTCATCATGTCTTCTCTCTCTGTCTTTTTGTGATTTAAACAGAAAAATTAAAAATGATTACCTATTTTCTCCTATTTATGTGACAGTATAACTGAAAATTACCTTGATGGAGTTAATTTATTTTGTGATGTTTTAATGGTGCTTAGCATACCAATACGAAAACTCAGAGTAAAGTATTTCCTGCAATCCATCTAACTTCACATACACTCCAATCAAATAACAGCAATGCCATCTTATCTGTCTGTAAGATTGTGATCATCTACCATCATTGTCATTATACTCAATCAAACTCACCAGCTCTGAAATAACAAAACTATAATGAACAGTTAGATTTTATCTTAC